CTTGTGGTGTATTTAATGTCAGTTAGGCGACTCCGTATTAACTGGGGTAAATCATGTTGACTGCACTGAGTGCATAAGGTATAACAAGAGATGACTAACTGGCTTAGGTAGTTTTTACTGCACTTTATACGAGCACTGACTTTAAATAAGATAGTGTTAACTATATCTTCACATATTATCAAAATCCCCAATAGACCTTAATAACTTAAGACACTAAAATTTAACTGGTTCACAGTGTTAACTACTTTAAATACTCAATAAACCATCAGAATAGACATTTGTAAACTAGATAAGATAGTGGTAACTATACTACGAAAACAAAACAAGATACCAGAGATTAAAACAGGTAGATAGTGTTACAGATAAACAGTTTAGATGAAAATCATCTCAGCGGGGTGCTGCAAGTCACCTTACATGAAGTTAACTTATAGACACTATATATAATATATCACCTAGTGGAGTTGAAAGCAGGCTTTTTCAATAGCTTACTGGCGATGTCCATGTCATATCCAGTAATCCTATGTCTCATATTTACATGGCAACAACATTGTGCTACTGAGATGACATGGAAGTAATTAGAAAGGATGAGGGGATACCCACCCCTTCTCTCTCTCTCTCTCTCTCTCTCTCTCTCTCTCACACACACACACACACACACAATGAAATCAGAAAAAATCCTTAACAATCAGCCTCTTTCATTACTGAAATGTTATCTATTTCTACCCATGAGACATCCGAGCAGAATATGGTAATTGCCCAAAAGTTTTGATAAACGTTATTTTAATCCAATCATGTATTGATCTCTTGAATGCTCTAATACTATTCCCACCTTTTCAAGCAAAAACAAAGCCTTCAGTGTAAAATTACCCAAAGATATTAAATGTATACACTCTACATTCAATTTTTTCAGTTCCAGTTCATCCTTGTCTGACCGGGTGCGCTTCGCTATGCCGAAGGTTCGCTATGCCGAAGGTTCACTGTGCCGAGGGTTCGCTATGCCGAAGGTTCGCTGTGCCGAGGGTTCGCTATGCCGAAGGTTCGTTATGCCGAGGGTTCGCTGAGCCGAAGGTTCGCTATACCGAGGGTTCGCTATGCCGATTGTTTTTAAAAAGATGTTAATTTTACACACACCCAATAACTACAAGTTCGCCAAAAATAATTAGAGAATGTTTTCTTGTCAGTAATTTCCTAAATGTGGGTGACACCCATAGTGCCAAAAATAATTAATAAATTAACTTACAGAACTGATTATTTAAAGCGATTTAAGATGTTTATGTCCATAAGGATAAACCTTCAATGCNCCACGCCTTAACTATGTGTGAAACATTTTGTCTGAATAATTAATGACAAGGTACATTTAATAACAATTTTTTTCTTTCGGTTCAAGTTGATTCATGTACGAACACGTCTTGACTCTGAACATAATAGTCTGTTACGGAAACCAGTGTGAAGTGAATAAATAATGAACCACGCTGACATTAAGTGATGAGCTGATATTGATACTGATACAGCTTGCTCTATGCCAGACACAAATAATTGTATACAGCAGTGTACATGTTGATTACTGTGTTAACCAGTGCGTGCACATACCTGTTTTACACACACGCACACACATACACGCACACTCAGAGAGAGAGAGAGAGACCTGCATGTTTTTGTCATCTAACCCTGTGATAAATATATCCCATGATAGTCATGCCTTTGTATTAAAATAAATCTGCTGTGAAACACAACTATAATTATAACCATAATTATAACAAAATCTCTTTTTAGTTCTTTATCTAAATTATATTTTATTTTTGTCCAAAATCTTTGACCCTCTATTCAGTATAATGTTCACCTAATACAACCAATTAGCCAATCAAGATGAACTACAAACTTGTTACTTCAATACTGGCATTCTAGCTAATCAAAGACCACAAACAAAATTGGTGAAACAAAAAACATTTACAATTTTATGGAATTAATGTCAATTTAGTCTAGGAGGCATGTCTCAGTCCTTCATCAAATTTATGAGTCTTCATCATATAATTAACCCATCAAACTAACATAGCACATATCAATGTTTTTAAATTCCATACACAAAATCAAGTAAGGACCTTTACTACACATCAAATGATACACAAAGACACCTTCCACACACCATTTACATGCTGAAATAAAATTGCAAATAATGAAAAATAAACTACCATGTAGATATACTTTTAAGTAAGAGAATCTTAGCAGGTTATGTCAAAATATTCTTTCCCAGTCATATAAATGTTATCATAATAAATTAAGCTTCTTTTAAAAGTATTCACTTTTTTACTGACTTTGCACAAAAGCCAATGAAAAAACCCACTTCCCAGAAGGAAGAGGTTATCAAGTGTTCCCTTATCATAAACTAGGGTCAGGCAGAACAAGGTCCAACGAACCTAACCATAAACACAACTTGCTAAATTATCGCGACTTGATTATTTTGACGAATTTTGATTATTTTGATGCTTACTGAATGGTCAAGACAGTAAAATAGTGAATACTTTTAAAAGAAACTTAATGTAGGGTCAATTATTTTTGTGGGTTGACTTCTTAGCCAAAGTCAATAACTGTAAATCATGTGTAAAACATGCACCTCTTATTGCAATCAAGCTGTCAACCCACAGCAATACTCCATGGGACAACTTCTGCCTTGTTTAGTTGTACGTAATTTGTAAACATGGATGCTCTTTGTTAGTCAGTCTAATCCTATTGCCTTAATTGTAATGAAGCTGCCACCCCACAATAAATCTTTAAAATTTATTATAATATCTGTCTTAGACTGCAATATATTGTAATCAGGGATGCTAATATTGAGATTATAAGAACTTTAAAAAGGATTCAGTGTCTTTTCCATTAAAACCCATCAAATATATAGAACTTAAAAAAAAAAAGAAATTGAAATTAAAAAGAAATTGATAACCCCCTCTCCTCAATATTGGCCAGTCAATAATTTATGCTAATTTGTCAATAAGTCTTTAAAAATGTGAACAGCTGAGTGCATGTGTGCGTGTGTGCGCGTGTGTGTGCGTGTGTGCATGTTTTGGAGGGGAGGGGGCCAACTCAGAATATGCTTTTGTGAGTAAATCTGTCAATAGCTGAACAGTTTGAGGTGTACAAAATGTGAGAAAAATTACCAGAAACTATTTTGTGGTGACAGTGAGAGCCTGTGGTCTAGCACCTCTTCTGTCTAAGTTGTAAACTTAAGATTATATTTCAGGCAACAGATTAATCTGCTAAAAGATTTATTTGAATCATGCCACTTCTCAGATTTCATAACATCTTTTTGATAAGATAAAATTATATGTATTTTGACTACATGAAGTATATCTTTCCCATTCACATGGCAAACTTGGAGATAAAATAAAAATTCAAATAGGGGTAAAATGAGAAATAACTATCAAATATTTAAAATGGTTATCTGTACTGTGCAATATGCAAAGATGTTATGGGTTGATACTGTGTCACAACTTTAACATACGTAGAATAATCATATTCTATACAATATTAATAAATTATAATGTTATAACACTAAATAAAACTATAATCAAGATACACTCTTTCTCTCTTTTTCTCTATTTCTCTCTCTTCAATGCCTCTATTCTCTTTCTCTCCCTCTCTCTCTCTCTCTGCATAATGCAATCTATGCTTTCCATCAATAACAATGTCTCTCTCATTGCCTTTTAATGACATGACATCAGTAATGGATATCTAGTAGAACACCAGCAATTAACAAGGATATGTTACAATGACTCCATGTTTGAGTGGAACCTGGCAATATTTGCCAATACCTCTTACAGAAGCAACGGAGACTTAAACTATTGTAAACAAACCAAAACCACAAAATAAACAAAAGATCCAATCTGGAAAATGAAGACAGAAACAAATAGATCTATATACAAATCTACTCAAAAAGCAGGTGCTGGTTTGTTCATTTTTGAAAATTGGTGGCTTATTCTTCAAAAAAATGGATAACCTATGTTATATTCAGAGTCGTTGTCCATTTGGTTGAATAATATATATACACACACTGCCAGCATCAAAATGCATGTACTAAAAATAAACACCACTAAAATCTGGAAAAGATTGATGATATATGTTATATTCCAAGTAGCAATTGTGAGTACTGTGCATTTCCATTCAGGTCAAAGAGTGTCTTGTTATAAACAAAAATAACACGAGCTACCATCTGGTTTATATTCAACAGCGAAGACTCAAGAGCAACTGTGTACAGCTTCTACATAAGAACCAAGTGACCTTGAGTCATAGTAGCTCCTGGTGTAATCAACCCTCTAAATATAACCAAACAGTTTTACTGTTTCTAAATCGGCATGACGGCATTGGTGATTATGTCAGAGTTAAAATACATATAGCTATTTCAGAGTGATTGCCACAAGGTTAGTTTAATGTCCCCGTCATGTAATTTTAGATTGATAAGTTCGGAGTCACAGGCCGCGCATATGACTATCATATGGTACTACTCCCCCAGCATGTGTTAATGTTATAATTAAAAAACATACCTCGCTTTTTCACGCCTCTAATGATCCTTCTACCTCGCCTTATAGAGTCTTACTTCTTTGTTTTGGCTAGAGTTAATAACGGACTTTGTAAATGTCGACGCAGTTTGAAATGCGAAAGACAGCACTACCTCACATTATGGGTCGCGTGTTTATGCTATGCGGCGACGACGATTCTGCGGTTGCATGGCAGAAAAAACGAGCTCATCTCTCTAATATCTATCCAAATGAAGACATTTAACACACTTAATAAACATTTATGAAGTATAAACGTCGGGTATTCGATTTTACCAAAGTCGACAAGGGAGTCGATGTTGGTTTGTAGGTCAAATGAAATACACAGATGTATATTTCGAGGCCTGGGAAAAACTGAGCAAATATGGCCGACCTTCGACTTCGCCCTTGCCACGCAGATAAACTCGCCCAAACACGTTTACCATCTCAATTTTGCGCCATTTATGTACTTACCCAAACCATCGCAAGGGCTGCTACCATCAAAAAGATGTAAAACACGTAGAAATATCGCTAGAAATCCTGCCCGAAATCACACAAGACGAGCCGACTTCGTCGCCATGATGAGTTAATTGATATGCATAGGCCCTGTAACATGGATGCCGAGGATTCTGATCATGTTTCAAAACCTGTACCCGTACCAAACATGGTGAAAATACACATATTTCACATCAGATGAAATTGGATAAAAGTTTTCTACAAAATGATGCTAAATTCGCTGGTATTCGGGGTCTAGAGAGCGAATTTAGAGCAATGTTGTTTATGTTATTGAGACGGGAAGCCATGTTTGATACCCCAGCTGGTGGGTGACGTCACGGGTCTGGGAGAGCAGAGTAAGGGTAGCAGGTGCGTTGAATGAGATGTCCACTTCGTGCTATTGGCGGCAAATCTTGATACCTTACACCAAAACGCACTGAGGTTGGAAGGGAGAAAAAATAGTGCTATTCGTGATTTTCTTCAGCCCGCGCCAAACGAGAACATGAATGCGTGGAATGATAACGTACATTTCATGTTTCGGCAATCTAAATCTGCATGTACATGCAGAAAATAATGATGATTAAAAAAAAAACAATAATTATTTATTTGCAACAACAGGATTTTCTTCATTTTAATCTTGGTAAGGACTGAAATGTATCGCTCATAGCTCTAACCAAAATCATCAACATTTCAAAAAAAAAAAATTAAAAAACAAAAAAAAATTACCAATATGTTTTCAACTAGTTCAGTGTAGCTAGATACACACAATTTCATTATGACCAGGCTTAATATCTTACACATAAGTGGAAATAGACGTCTGTATTCCATGTCAAAGTAGGTTCATCACCAGGTAAACGAGCGGTATGTGTTTATGTTTATAGTGCATGACTCGTTTACTTGTTGACGGATTAAACCGGTGTTATCACACCCTCCTTACGTAAATGCCTGGTAAATCGTGTTCCTTGATTGTGCTGGTTGTGCAAGCACATCGCGGCACATCTAACGCAATCTTCGTGGTTTATGTATTTATATTTAATTTTTGCAGTTAGTTCTCTTCTGTTATTGATTACGTTAGAAGTATGTCGTCATTGTATTTCCATTGCTTTTCATCTTAATCAATACTGAGACTGAAAATGAATTCAATCGTCGTCAATATTTAGGTTTATTTGAAAAAAAAACAGAAAAGTTAAAATGAAGTTCGAGATATATTCGCAAATTTTACTTAATCTAAGGCTAGCTATGTTTACGTATACGTAAAGTGAAAAAAATAGGTTTTTGGTGTGAATCATGTGGAATTTTAAATGTCTGGCCTTGCTGGTGTGTGGAAATTTTGTATGAAGTAAAAAAAGTTTCAGCTATTTCAGTAATGAAAGTTGAAAAAAACAACCCTTTTGGATAGTATTCGCACACTTTTAATACTAGCAAAAATTAAACTCCACTAAAGGGGTACGCATTTATTTTACTGACATATGTACATTTGCCATCAACCTCATTTTTTTTGGTTTTTGTTTTTGTTTTTTTTTTTCAATGAGCGCATTCTCAACGAATTAAGCCAGGCTTTACAAAGCCGGTGACCTAAAAATGGCGGACGTACATGAAAGAAAAACCGCCTAATCTTTTAATAGTCTCTCCGCCTCTCACACGCCTCCCCACACGTCGTCCCTGCGGGGTACAGTAATTAAATCTCGGCTCCGAACATTAATATTTCCGTGAATATCTCTGGTGATATTATCTCCGTAGATAGTCGATTCATTGCTGCTCTACGGGCCAAATTATTCCTTTTTCGTCTCTGTTTTCAAACATAATAGAACAGAAGAGCTTTTTTCCTTCGATCGCCTTCAGCCGCCATGCTTTCTTCACCACGAGTTTAACTGATGAGCATGCGCACTTAATATTTCTCAGGTAGCTTCCGCATGGCGAACGGAGCCGAGATTTAATTACTGTACCCCGCAGGGACGACGTGTGGGGAGGCGGAGAGACTATTAAAAGATTAGGCGGTTTTTTTTTCATGTACGTCCGCCATTTTTAGGTCACCGGCTTTGTAAAGCCTTGCTTAATTCGTTGAGAATGCGCTCAATGCCTAGTAACCAAGGTTACTTTCTGAAAGAAAGCAGTTTTGCCGTGTTTCCTGTAAAACTTTAACCGTGCCTTAGCTTATCATGAATGTAACTCAATTTAAGATTAATATTTTATTAATGGATAAAATGTTTTTAAAAATAAAACAACTTAAAACGAAGACCTGCGCCAAAAGATAAAAAGGTTTTTTTTTTAACTTGGCGACACCGCGAAAATAGACGCAATCTCTTTTTTGAGTTATACTGCAGTGCTAGTATTATATAGGTATTGCAAGCCGGCAAGGGCTACTCGAGGAATCTGAGAAAATAATAGCAACACAAGTTACGCTTTAGATTAACTTTTATTTTAATGGTTTAAATGTCTTTAGTGACTGAATTGGTAAATATTTCATAACTCGGAAATATTAACTGGACATCATTATCTTAACTCAGACTATTAGGTCATAATTTTATTAGTTCAATTCATCTTACTTTGTTTTTAGTTTGTAAAGTCTACAGAACATATTTTATGGATTTTAGACTTTAAATAAATAAATATATTATTATTATTATTATTATTATTATTATTATTATTATTATTATTATTATTATTATTATTATGAGAAGCTTCACAGGACATGAATGTGATTTTTAGAGGGATTTCAAACGCGGAGAGAACCTCTATAAACGTAATTTTGGCGGGAAACCCCCATGAAAAGGTCATTGAGAGATAGTGATCATATTTCACGGGGAATAAAATTATCAAATCACATATCACAGTTTATTCATATCTCTTTGATAATGCGCGTAGAAAATCCTGAAATTACGTAAATTATACGTGTTTAAAGGGATAATAACTCTTCGTATGAGATCTATAATTCACAATAAAAACATTGTGAATAACTCATAGAAATATAACATATTCTGTTTTACCAAAAAAAAACGGCAGTTATAGCTATTTTTTCTGATACCTGAGCTTGTCTTTTGACCACGTGATCTCCATTGTTGGCTATACTCTGTTAAAATCTCTTAAGAGATTTTAACAAAAAAACAAACTTTTTAGAAAAAAAACAGGGACTAACTTTGAANAAAAAGGAGACACACGCAGTGTTTTGGTTGCAGGATGAATGCTCAATGATCGGCCAGTTGTCAGCACGTTAACAATTATTATTATTATTATTATTATTATTATTATTATTATTATTATTATTATTATTATTACCTCGGCCAAGGAGGTTATGTTTCACCTCTGCTTGTCTGTTTGTCTGTCTGTCATCAACATAACTCAAAAAGTTTTGGACCGATTTTGATGAAATTTTCAGGAACTGTCAGAAGTGGGCCAAGGAAGAGATGATTAGTTTTTGGTAGTGATCCGGATAATCAATCAATAATTAATAATAATAATAAATCGCTGCCTTGGCTGAGGTCTGGGCTCTCGGAGTGCTTTTGTAGTCTTACAAGTCATTCTATGAATTACATGTTCACTTTGAGTTTATTATTATTATTATTATTATTTTACTCTCAAACGGGGCCGTACTACAGGACGCAGAAAGGACGCTGTCCAGTGCAAAGACAATGGAAGAGGGCTTAATTAATGCGACGGGCTAGTTGCGCGGTTCACGGAAGCGCTTGTATTATCAATTTCTTAATAGTAATAATGGAGCCCATTCTTTGTACACTTAGTATTTTATTACTTCAAAAAGCGACTTGCACTGCATCCACTCTTTCCCAATATGAAGCCGTACGTAGAAAAAGTATAAATTTGTGGTATGGGTGTGGCGCCCAGTTCGACCGGCTCTCTTTTATGTTTAAAAGTGTATCATTATTGCCAACGTTGAGGATAAGAGAATCGGTAGTGCTCCCAAACAGCGATGATGTATCTTTGAAAATGAAAAGTAGGGCTATGCTTTTTTTTTTTTTTTAAGATTCTGTCCCCAGTCATAAATGAAAAGCAGTTTTTGAGTCACTGGCATTTTTTATACGGGATGTACTTTTTGGACAAAGTGAATAACTCGTAGAAATATAATATCTTCTATTTTACCACAAAAACAGCAGTTATAACTATTATTCTGATATCTGAACTTGTCTTTAGACCACGTGACCTCCATTGATGTCTATACTCTGTTAAAATCTCTTAAGAGATTTTAACAAAAAACCAAACTTTTTAGAAAAAAACAGGGACTATCTTTGAATGTAAAAATGGATTCATTAACCATTGGCAAGTATGGGAAAATTGATGTTTACTCCAGGAAAATTCATTTTTTGGCCGAAACGAAGAGTTATTACTGCTTTAACTTCAAAGTCAAGAACATTTTCTAAGAACAATAATATAAATATTTTTTGTAACAAACTGTTTAAATGGCACACCATTCTCTTTTCTTGAACGAATTAATACAGTGTAGATCTAAGCAATGGTTGCAAAATCTATTTAAATGTTAACAATACCATAAACATTATAAAACATCGCACTAAATGCGTGATTACATTTATAAATTGAATAAAATTTGAATAAAATTCATTCATTTAACTGACATGCACTGTATAATTTATTAAACTGCCCCGTTCAACATGCATCTTCAGGATGAACTTTTCTTATATGTTTATGCATATCACAATTAAAGTTAAATCCTCTATCACAGAATTGACATTTGTAAGGTTTTTCTCCAGTGTGGACACTCATGTGTCCTTTCAGACTGGGAAGCTGATTAAACCTCTTATCACAGAATTGACATTTGTAAGGTTTTTCTCCAGTGTGAATTCTCATGTGTCTCTTCAGTATGAAATCTCTGTTAAACCTCTTATCACAGAATTGGCATTTGTAAGGTTTTTCTCCAGTGTGGATTCTCATGTGTCTCTTCAAGACACCAGCCTGACTACACTGTTTACCACACACAGTACATGTAAACACTATACTGTTGTCATGAATCCTCTGATGTGTGTGTAAATGTGACAGCTGATTAAACCTCTTCCCACATACAGTACACTTGTAAGGTTTTTCTCCTGTGTGGATGCGTTTGTGTTTGATCAAATCATGTTCCAGACTGAAACCTTTCCCACATACTTCACACTTGTGAGGTCGTTCACCTGTGTGGGTCAGTAGATGGTTCTGATGACCAGCAACAGAATTTGTGGAGTAGTTACAAAATGCACATTTGTACTTCTTACTCCCAGTCATGTCTGGATGGCGTTTCCGGTGTTTCACCAAATATTCATCATCAGCAAACAGCTTTCCACATATGTCACATTCATAAACCTCAACTGAAACATTAAAAACAAACAGATATAAGTTTACCTTACTGAAAAACAATAGCTCAAACTAAAATTTGACAATATATTAATAATGAATGTGAACATTTCAATAATTCTATCATCATTTTAAGACTATTTTCCTGTGAAACTATCAATAATAAATGCACAAATTACTTATATATCAGACACATCCTTGTGCCAGTTGGTGTGTATACTTATCTACAGTGAATTTCACTTTATATTCAGTTTGCATATACATGTAATTATGAAATTACCATTCAACTTCCTGAGCAGATCCAGGTTGCTTTCTGGCTTGGTTTTATCTATTCCCAGTTCCATGGCATATGCATCTCCATACCACACCAGAAGTTCATTGCCTTCAGGTATAGGTTTGATAGTTTTATAATATATCTGACCATGGTACTGGAATGCCACAAGATTTTGTTCTCTCTCAGTTCTTGCACAGTTCACATAACGCATCCAGTTGGCTTTGGAGGGATCCTGAGCATCTACAAAATGACTGGGTTGACCTTCTTTGTATACCTAACGTATTACAAAATATTAAGCGAATCAATATCAATTCATAGTAATTGCCCATTTTGAAGGGTTACTTAAGCAAAATAAAATTATCTGTTTTCTTCCTTTCTACACCATTATTTATAATGAAAAAAAAAAAAAACAAAAAACAAACAAACAAAAAACAAAAAACAAACTTTTGACAGCTTTTTTAAAAGACTGAGCAAAAACTGATTAATATGGATGAAAATGTACCAATTGATCAACCTTATTTGCTTCATGCCAAACATATGAATATAATATACAGAGAATGAAACAACTATCATCATACAATCTGAATACAATTTCATTCACATTAAATATATATGTCCTGCTATTTGTAATACCAGTTTCAACAACAGAGCCTTAACATACCTGCCAACTGTAACCAGACTCATGTGCCTTTGCTGTATCTGTAGAAATCTCTCCCTCGTAAGGTCCAAACCTGGTTCTATTTTTGAGTGTTCTGATGACCCAAACTCCAAGACCTGCATCAGGAATTTGTGAGGTATAAATGTTGAAATAAGGAGGCAGGGTTTTCCTTGCTCTCTCTGGATCTGAACCATCAGCTGGTACCTATGAATTTAGATGAAAAATTTCTGTAAAATTGCATCTATATTCAAGACAAAAAAAAAGTGCCGAGATTTCATCAATAAGCATTTTTTTACATTTTACATCAATTGATCACACATTGCAAAATAATTCCAGTTTTTGCACTCTTGTAAAAATGCAGTGTTATTTTAAAATGTCATGTTTTGGACAAAATACAAAATGTCTGAAAACTGTTCAAGTAAACTATAGTGCATGTACCTGTACATCTTCTACGATATTGAGAGGTCCATGCACTGGACAGTCTCCTGCATACTCCATGTTACACTCATCACAGTCTAAGGAAGAAAGGAGCTTAATAACATTTTATTGGCACATAACTTTCTAAATCTAAATCTACCAACACCTTTAATCACTTGCAAATGTCTAGCATTTATCTACTAGCATAAGACTATAATGTGCTTCTGTAAAATGAAGAGTCAATATACTACATTATTTGTGATAAGTAACCTTAACTTTTTTTTTAAATGGCAAACAAATAAATTTCAAAAAATTAAAAATAAGAAGTTCTTATGTGCTTGAATATCAAATGGATTATGTAGTCACTTAAACAGCAGCCTTACACAAAAAGGCATCATCATCTGGCACCTCTAGGTCTTTGTAGTTTTTGTCCCCAGCTTTTCTTTTAGGATATCTTGGTTGGTGTACTCCTGACATAGATCAGATATAGTTTATTAAACATTATTTTAACACCAAGTTCATTTTAATTTCAGGCAATTCATAAAATGGTCATTTTTCAAATACATACATGTGATTGTTTTTTTTCCTTTATCTGAGCATTAACACCAACAACATGACAAAAAATGGAAGTTATTTTTAAACTGAAAACTAGAGCCAACTGAACTTCAACTTAAATTTGCTATGTTTTAGCTAATATGTTAAGTAAAAAATGTCTTCCTTTAAAGGCTGTTAAGCCATATATATTTTAATTAATCAGTTTCTTAAACATAAAATTATTTTATTAACAAATTGCATTTAATCTAGTCCTCTTTATATCTTTAATAAATACCATTTAACTCACCTTTATGAACAATGTTTGATGTTGAATTTGTTCCCAATGACACAGATTTTTTCTTGGTTTTTATTGCCTTTAAATTCTCCTCTTTATCTTTCATGCTGTTTACCTAAAAATTATCACACTGTTTAAAAAAATTAAAAACTTATGAATATTTGTTAATCACAAATGTCAATAACAGCTACACTTCACATGTGCAAGTAGATTGCATACTATGAAAAAAGTGAAGGTTAAAATATTTTGCCGTGTACAATTACTGACAAATTGGATGTTGGGATGGAATAGTTTTTTGTTTTTTTCATACAATTTGTAAAAAAATTATGAAATCACTTTTGTTTTTGTTCTCTGTACAGTTCTGTCTGGCTTAGGTGGAGGTTGAAATCTTTCCACACTCTTTAATGCTGAAAAAAAAAGACAAACTGTATTAAATAAAGATATGGAATTGTAGAGAAATACCCAGTCCATGGGATATTCCAAGATCTGGTTATAATTTCACATAAACGAAATAGTTTAAAGCAATAATAACTCTTCCTTTGAGATTCAAAATTCCGCATGAAATACATTGTAAACAACGCATGGAAATATATTCTATTGTATTTTACCACTAAAACGGCCGTTATTGTAGTAAAACTAAAATCTGTGCTTGTCAATGGGGCTTTCGGTGCCTTACTTCCCAGTCATCAAAGCATTCGTTGCTAATGACGTAATGGTGTCACGCGGATTCTCGCGTTCATTCGAGACCAAAATAACATGGCGCGAAACGCATTAATGCGGACGCAGACGTAAGTTGCGAGTTTTTGTACAGTGCGACGGATAACGAAAAGCCCAGAATGGCACACATTGTGGATATAAATGTATTTTTAACAAAAAGACGAATATATCTCATGAATCTTATATAGTGTTGTTGTTGTCTGCTTTTCCCGCGGTTTTAAGTAGGTCACCAGTGACTTTGCAATGTCAGAGAGAGCCCCTTCAGTTAAAATCTCTTAAGAGATTTTAACAAAAAACCGTACGTTTAGGAAAAAAAACCCTGGATTAACTTTGAATGCAGGAATGGGGTCGCTGACCATTGGTAAGTACGGGAAAATTGCCGTTTACTCCAGGAAAATCCAATTTTTGGCCAAAATGAAGAGTTATTATGACTTTAAGCTCAAGAATTCTTCAACAAATGGTAAACAAACCAAATAAAACTATTTTAACAGGTCTGAATTTAAATAATATATTATTTTACACGTGTTTCCACTTTACCTCTTCCACTCTTTCTTCTGTCTAACTCTGGTGTCCACTCTTCATCGCTGCCAGAACTCTCATCTTTCACCTTTTTCTTCTGAGCTGGTTTCTTCTTTGGCTTCATGAACTGAGGCTTAGCAATTGGGAGACCTACAAATAAAAAATAAAGACCAACATATATTAACTAAATATATTATATATAACTAAATATAATAACTAGTGAATTATAATTCTATATTCAATTTTTCATAGTAAATTGTTTTAGAAACTTCGTAACTTACATAGAAAATTACACTTTTTATTTATGTTATAATGCACTTAATTGTTTTCATCAAATGTTTGGTTAGTATTCATACTGAAAATTTTAAACTCTGATTTTAGAATATTTAAAATGAACATGGAAAAAAAATTAAAAAAAAAAAACAGAAAATAACCTAAATCTTTTAAGACTTGATAATTTCTTTTAATATTTCTGAGTCTGAGTTTTTCATAATCTGACAGCTTGGCAAGCTCAGAAGCTGTGAAGTATGCTTCAATGTTGACTTTGTCTGGATCCGTCATGTCCATCTTGCTGAAATCCATCTGCTCCACGTTTGGAAGTTTGGGGATTTCAAACTAGAAATGAAACAGAATTTGGGAACAAATGCAATTTTTACAAACAAAGCGTTTCATGACGTAAAATTAAAGAAAAAGAAAAAGAAAAGAAATAGCTGCTGCTTTAAAACTGAAGTGCTGCGAGTATCGTAATTTTTTTCAAAAAATAAATAACAAATAATAATAATAATAATAATAATAATAATAAAGAATGTCGTTTTTGGCAGTAACGATTATTAAAATCAGACTTAAGATTGTTTTCATTATACTTTCAAAGATACTATTCCAAAAGTTTGGTCAATTCACCATACTTTATAGACGGATGAACGGATGAAAAAAAAAGAAATAGAATCTCTTTCCGCCCCCTGCGGAAATATCAAATTCTTCCATAAGCAAAATTGTACAACGTCATTATTAACAAGTTAAAAGTGATCTTATGCAACTTCTACCTACCTTTGAGGCCATGTTCTCACACAGAATGTGGAAGAAAATCAGAAAAGTTCTTCGGGGTCAAATTTCCTAAACACAACTGAAAATGTCGTCTGCGCGGCATGTTGAAACCGAGGCTGTCTTAGCCCAACACAATCAGTTGCTTTCAGTTGCGTCTTCTCTAACACATTGTCTTCTTTTTCCTTGTTGCGTTGAGGTGTTTGACGAAAGTTGATACTTTGCCAAAGGCTTCTGTTTTAAATGGAATTTTTAAAATTTTACTGTAATATGAGCGGACAATTTCATTTAATCTTATTTAATTCCATTTTGATTTAATTTATTTATTTACTTATTCTTTATTTTATACGATGGGAGTGGAGAAAAGGTCAGTTTCCGGAAGGGAGGCTCTTTGTTCCCCCTGAATCCGTGTTTGTAATGTAGTAGAACTGCATGTGTAATGTGAATTTTTAATAATTACATTTGTAAATATAGAAATTTACCTCAAGTCTATCTAATATGACACTAGCAATTTATTTAGGGTTATCTTTCCCCCACCAGACTGGGTTTCATATTCAATTCAACTCTGCGTTAAGCCATTTCGTGTAATTAAATTAAAAACTTAGGCGCATTAGACGTTAACATATGCATACATTGACAGTGTTTCGGCTCAGCTAGCTCTCACAAGTATGGCGGCACTCACACTCACATACGCTTTTCTCGTTGTTTTGGCGGTACAAAATGCATCAGGGTATTTCTGGGGGATGTATCCTAACGTCCCAGGAGGGAGACGCATGGTCTGGCACCCTGTCGACACCATGTTAAATCTCATGCCACAAAAGGTAAGACGAAAACCCTGGCAAAAGAGACGCGCACATATAGTGTCGTGTTGAGACCGTCGTATATGGATCATTCTACCAAAAAAAGTGAACATTAGTGTCGGGTCATTGACGCACACATCTTGTGGTATGTTTCACAACTGTTTAAAGTCATTTTAATTACAGTTGGTTTGTTTCCATATTGGAGAGTATGGGATAAAAGAAGTCAAAATTATGCAAATGATACACAAAATGTGTGCGTCATTGATCTGATTCTTCACTTTTTTGTGGGATCACCATACTAAGAATGGTCTCTAAGGCCTATGGAATAAATTTTGATTTGAGGGGGAAAATCTTAAATTAATTGCTCTTTTTGCTGTACGCGGTTCGGTAATGAAATAAGCACAAAAGGATTTTAGTTTTATGGAAGAAAAAAGCAGATGGACTATGGACGACTTGATGGAAAGGTGGAGGGATTTAATCAGCTGAATTCAATCAACGTAAAGAAGCCGAAAATGGCAACGCTGAAGAAATGCAACCTAGAAAACAAAACTCTTAAGAATGAAAACAATTTAATTAGTGTTCAAACTTGATTTATGAATACATACTTATTATGTTTTTTGCTAATTGAAAATAAACTAAATATGGATGGAAAGCACATTTATTCTGTATTTAATCAATCATTTATTTATTAATTTATTGATCAGAAAAAGAAGTCATAAATGGCTTTATTTTAGAAAAATATCAAAACGGTTGAATCCATAAATTCTCATGACGGACCATTAAATCTGTTTTGTTCCATTTCATTTCCAGATACAAGGACTGTGGTACAGTATCATCTGGCGGTCTTATCCTCAGGTTCCTCATGAAGAAGTGTTGCTGGATTTTGCAATGAACATAACACTTGGTGAAACAGGGGCGCTTGCAGTGACGACAAAAGGAAAACCAAAGTATCTTTAATTTTGCTCTCATGTTGTGCGCAACATTTAGCATTGTATATTACTTGTATAAAATTAGGCTGCAATTAAATTAAAACGAAATTATTGGTTAACCGCAGGGGCGGATCCAGGGTTATTTTTTGACAGTCTTTCAAATTATCTTTGTTGATCTTAATCCATCCTCCATTTTTGACCGTCTTCCGACAGAAAAAATAGATACCCAACAGTATAAACTTGAATATTTGACTGTCTTCCGGAAGACCCAGAAGACGGCCTCAATCCGCCCCTGAACCGCTCTTCACACATACACACTCGCGCGTATATCATGACAGACCCGTAGCCAGGGAGGCTCGGGGGGGGGGGGGGGGGGGGGGTTGGAAAGAACCGCCCCTTTCGCTGGGAAAAGGTTCGCTCTGGATAAAATTTGATCTAGTAGGCCCCTACATGAAGTTTTTATGGAGAAAGGCCCCCTTTTAAAATTGCTGGCTACAGGCCTGTTATGTGTGTAGGCTATTTGTGTGTGTATGTGCGGGGGGGGGGGGGGTATAAATTAGGTATGCCGTGGCATATTTGGTGTCAAAATCTTGCCTAATTTACCTTGAATTATGTTGTACTACATATGATCTAGGTCATAGCGGGATGTGTACTTTATGTAAATGCATGCAGGTTGTTTGTGGCAACGAATACATAAAATTTGAAATAAATTTACTATTTATGCCATCCCAATTACATTACAGCGAGAAGGGGGCGAGCTGCATCGACGTCAATGCATTTTCCAAACTAGAGCCAACTAGAGTGAGAGGGAAATATACCATTGTCCAAAGTTATGGCAAGTTCTCTGCTCCATCGGGGTTTTCCTTTCTCTGTCAGTTTTATAATTTTTCTTTCCTTTCTCCCTTTTTTCTATCTACTAAATCTCAAGAGAGGAGTGAAATTATCTATCCGTCTCTCTCTCTCTTCTCCCTCTCTTTCTCTTTCTCTCTCTCTCTTTCTCTCTCTTTCATACACACACACACACTCACACACACACACACACACATTACATCAGACACTTCATGAATCTCGTTCATTTTCTCTGTCTTTCTCCGTCTCGTGCAGGCGCACGCGTACATGCAAAGAAAGCGAGTCCTCTTTCTTTACTTTCTTTTCATCTCATTCTCATTCTAACACACACAAATACGTGCGCGTGTACCCTCCCCCACCCACCCACACTGCACAGTCACATATGCCTCTTCTCTCTCTCTCTCTCTCTCTCTCTCTCTCTCTCTCATCGTCATTGCCTTCACTTCATTCTATAAATAAATCCTCTTTAAATTTTACACGTTATTCCAGGCACCAACACGTTCAAGTTCGCTGACACCGACTACGCCCACTACATGGTGTCCAGCTACTGTTTTAACGAGACTGCCAGTGGTCACTGTGAGATGGAGGGCGTTAACATCTGGGGTCGTACCGCTGAGCTGACGCCCCAGTACCTTTACAGGGGAATGAGGATAATCGACAAGATGCTGTGTAAATCATTAAGCGGGTTTCATTTTATAAGGCACACTACAGGTAGGCTCCCATGGATCTGAATTGTTATTTAGGATCCGTAAGCATTGTGTGTGTGTATGGGGGGGGGGGGAGGGG